ATAAGACCATATCAGTGGGGACAAGGCTGCCCAAAGTAGTGAGTGCAGAATCAGTTAGGCTTGAATTCCACACAAAGAGCTTCAACCCACTCTTATAAGCTATGGGAATCTAATGGAAGTTCTTGGATGGAGAATTAAAGTGAAGGTGAGAAAGATTAATTTAGGTAGGTTAACCTATCATCTGGGTAGAGGCAGATATTGGAAGTAGACCCAGAGGCAAGGAGATGGCTAAGATGCTGAATGTAGGCCAGTATGAATACTGTCACCTAGAAAAGAAAGGGCAGATCCTGGGACTAAGTAACATAACCTGGTGATTTACTGGGTGTGGGAAATAAAGAAAGTGTCAAAATTGCTTTCCTCTGACCCCACCTTTTCCCAAGATTTACAGAGTGGGACATCTAGAAAGAACTGGGAAAAGATAAGGTATGGCCAGAGTCTTCTCAATTCTTGAAATATACAATTTAATTTTCACACAAGGATTTCAAATAATGAAATAAATTGTTACGGTAAAAGAAACCCAGGTAGACTGTACACTAGTTACCCAACATTTCATTTCACTGCATTGTTGTTAGGGCAAGATGTTTAATAATTACCATTTAGTTAGACATCCAGGAAGAAGTCACATATTTCTGTATACCAGAATTAAATTAAACAAAAGAAACCTGCTCCGTGGTATGAAATAAGGGAAAGAGCAATGGGCAAAATGTAAGGACACCAGGGTTCTGGTCTCAGCTCTCAAACTAACTCCCAAGACACGTGACTTCCCTGAATCCAGATTTCCTTATTTGTAAAACTGACTGGGAGGGGAGACAGGGCTGGGAGTGATTTCTATCTGTATTCAACAGAGCACTGGGAGGTACTTCAGGGGCCCCCAAGGAGGCAAAGGAGCAGTTGAGTGTGCAGCCCCCTATCCACCACTCATACCCCGCCCCCACCTCTAGAAGCTCTAGTTTATTATCCACTATACCAGAGAAATTTATAAAATTTCATTAGGTCTACGGGATAATCCACACCTTCACCCCCACCACGCAGGGAAAATTACTGGTCTAGATGCTTTCTAAGGATCTTATCCCTTGGGGGTTGACTGTCTGATTTCGCAAAGAATGATAATACAAGTTGATAGCTGTGTGGATCTGTAAGTTAATACCATTCTATGATGTTAAAGAAAAATTCACAAAAGCACAAATGACACATATCCTTTTAGAATTTCAGGGGAAAACTAAACTTTCATTCTAAGAATAAACATTGAGGTTGGATGAAGGCAACCAGAGCTCTTAGCCAATAATGCAAAGAGCTGCAGGTACATACTTTAGCCTCATCTTAATGTTTTAAGGGGCAAATATTCACATATCACGTGTATGATAAAAATTTCTTTCTTTCGGAAGGAAAAAACTTCAGGAAATTACAAACATACACTAACGCCCCTCTGACAACTGATCTCTGCATAGCTCAGAGCATAGGGACTGCAGTGATTTCACAAGACTCCCTGACTTCAGAAGCTTCATCAGCAGCCCCAAGCCACACTGACCAGCGAGCACCTAAATCTGACACAATTTCACTGCTGCCTCATGCTTTGCAATGTGGGAACTTAGATGCTAATCAAACAATTGGATTGACTCTTCTTTAAAGACAGCGGAGAGCAAGGTGATGGACCAAAATGATAAACACACTCCAGAATAGGGTTTTCCAAAGTGCATATCACAGTTTGTAATGAGTGTTGAGAAAATCAACTCACTGGACGTTTCTATTTAATATTGTTAAAGTTGGGATTTATTTTCTATGAATTTAAATATCAATAAGATAACAGTTTATGTCAATTTTTATTATTTTATCCAACAAAGTAACAGAATTTTTCTGGTGAACCTTTTGTTTCTACTTTATAAACCTTATATTATACATGGGCAGACATGTCACAATGTAAATTATTTCTCACTGGCAGCCGTGAAAAAATCGAAAAGCACTGCTTTGGTAGGTACTGAGAACAAGAGAGGAAGCTCGATCTTCACTTTGATCTTAACAGACATTTGGGGAAGTTTGGCTTAAAAATAAAGAAAAAGTGGGGGTAGTACAAGGGACTGTTCCCCAGTATTTCCTAAGTGATGACTGTCATCGACACTGTGCTTGACCTTAACCCACCCAACGAGAGTTTGTGAGGAATTTCACCTGTTTTCTAGATGAAGAGAGTTTAAACAATTTGTCTAAAATCACAGCTAAAAAGAGGTAAATTTTGAATTCCAACATGATAGTCATCTATTAGTTCACGGTTTTTTAGCCATGGGTGAAGGAGGAGTATGGAAACTTAGTTTCTTTCTTTAAAGTTAGCTTTAAACAATCCTATCTGGGTCTAAGTCATGACTACCATTATCACCATGGCTAATATTTATTAAGCCCTTCTTCAGCTTGTTCGAGCACTGTATTAAGTGTTTTAAAAACTTCATTTTATTTACCTCACACAAAACCCTTATGAGGCATGTACTATAATGATTCCTATTTACTGGAGCCTTTGAACAGTTCAGTAACTTGCCCAGAGTCACACAAACATCATCAATGCAAACCTACATTAAATAGCTGAATGTAGTTTTATTTACGTTCCTACACATATTCAGGGAAAATACCTGCTAAAATAGCTTTTCCCCTCAAAGTGTTGGAATCAAATAGCTGAAATCTCAATCTCTCATCTATGAAAGTCAATTGAGATGCTCACTTAGGACTTTTTGCTTTCAGCACTCCCTGGTTCTAAAATGTGTCATTCATTTAAAGAATGTCAGGCAAATAGCACAGCTCGTATAATTGCACTACTTCAGTCTCCTGGCTACTAACACTATGTGAATGGTTCACAAAGACTTGGAACTCTGCTTTCTAAAGTAACCAAAATGATTGTACCCCCATAATATCCTGAATAAAAAAAGGCATTGAGAAAATAAAATAAAAAAATAAGTCCCCATCCATTTAGCAACTTGCTTTCTACAGGTTGAGTATCCCTTATCCAAAATGCTTGGGACCAGAAGCGTTTCTGATTTTGGAATGCTTTTTTGGGAGCAGCAGCGGGGAACGATTTTGGAATATCTTGGGGATGGGACCCAAGTGTAAACATGAAATGTATTTTTGTTTCATATATACCTTATACACATAGTCTGAAGGTAATTTTGTACAATATGTTTAATGATTTTGTGCACGAAACAAAGTTAGCGTTAAGTACTTAATGTGTGGAATTTTCCACTTGGGAGTATCATATTGGCATTCAAAAAGTTTCAGATTTTGGAGCATTTTGGCATTTTAGATTTCAGATTTTCAGATTAGGGATGTTCAAACTGTGTAAGAATTCACCCTTTGGTTATAATCACTGTATTTGAAACATGTTCAGTGTTCAATATTCTTTATAAAAGCTGGATAGCTTTTTAAACATTATGCTAGTGACTTAAGTATTAGGGTTTATACCCTAATGGGATTTTTGTTTGTAAGGCATATTTTCTTATTCTCTTGACCTGTATGACTGTTGTCTATGAATTCTTAATTCTGGGGATGGGGTATCCAGGGGCAGAGGTGGGAGCAGATCTCTATTTTCCTAAAAAGGCAGCTCAAGCAGCTTCAGAAACCCCCAGCTGCTATAGAGTTTGAGATGAGCATGTGAGGTGCAGGAGAGAAGACCTTGCAAAGCTGTGGGATTTTTACAAATTTGCATTCACAGTCTAATCTCGTGAGTGCTCTGGTGGCATTTTAGACACTTAAATTTAGGGGACGTTTAGTTCATTTTCTTGTGCATCGTTGTCGGCTTCAATTTATATATAGTACCTTTATCTTGCAGAAAATCTTGCAAGCCAGAGGAGCTCGGGGATACCAAATTTCTAGTTTTTCTACCCTTTTGCAATCCTCTGCCCCTTTTGTTCTCAGCATTAAGCTTAAGTTACTGTAGAATCCTGTCTGAATGAAATTAGGTTACACTTGAACCGATTACCAACTATCATGGCCTACCATGCTTGTAAAAAGGAAATTCTTCCAACATCTTCATATTACATCTTTTCCCTCCAAAAAATACAAGACTCAAATTGGTCTGTGAACAAACTCTGAGCTGATCTTCCAGTGACAACTTAGAGGTAAAAGGGCAGCCATTCCTAAAGGGGGTGGGGGGTGTGAAACCATATAAAACAGGGTGGAACTTCCAAGGGAATTTATAAGTCCTTGCTTGTTTGCAAGATCACACCTACATCCTAATTTGAAAAGGGCTGCAAGAGTCTGCACTTTCTGTTTCTCGGCTATCCTTTCCTGCTTGGTTTCACTCACGCAGATACACACTTCTGTCATATTCAAGAGATACACGGAGACACACAAAACCATGCTTTCCAAAATAGAGAGGTGACTGGTGCGGAGGCTGAGGATGAAGCTGAGAAGGCAGGTGGTCGGACACCTGATAAAGAGTTAATGAGCAAGGGGTAAAGTTAGAGAATTGGGTGGATATAAAGTAGAAAAGTAACACTAAACGTGGTGGGCAAAGAGAAACATGTCTGGTCCTGTACAATAGATTTGGAATCATGGCGAACATTCCTTTATATACTGAGGACACATTATAACCTTCCAGGAATGAAATAAATGCAATTCTAGGCCAATACGGTTGTCACCATATCTAAAATCTAAAAGCAAGTGTCAGATGAAAGGAAAAAGTAAGAATTTTAAGAATGGTGCTTGGCCCCTATCAATTTGGCTTCTGAGATCAAGAAGTGCTTAATGAGTTGCAGGAGGGGAAGCCCAAAGGCTCTAGGTTTCTTTCTTAGTTGCACCTGTTTCAGAAGCGCCTGGGCTAATAAAAGAGGAAAACAACAGGTTCCCGCAGGTAGAAACTCGATCCCGTCCCTGCACCTTCTGGCACCCATGCCAAGCGCCACCGGAGCGCGGCCCAGGCCTCCACTGCCCACGTCCCTGACATGGACAGCTCTGCAAGGCCAGGCAGCAATGGCTTCCTGTCTCCTTGGGCCCAAGATGGGTCCTATTTTTCCACGGCTCACCTGTGGGGAGCCAGGTGAAGAGCAGCAGCCAAGGTGTGGGCACTTCGCAGCCCATGCCGGCGCCTCTCTGGCCCCCTTCAGCTCAAAGGCCTCGGGCCACCGGGTCCTTTCCTCATCAGCTGCCGCCCCAGGACGCACCACTCTCCAAGGAATCCCTCGGGTTTCCCCTCACTGGGCGCAGCGCGGTGGGAGGGTCCGCCCTGCTCCCCGGCAGGTACCGCGGCTCCTCCGCACCTGCGGCGCTCCCCGCGGCTCCGCCCCGCCCGTGCGCCGCCGCTTCCTGCCCCGCCCCCGGCTCCCGGTGCGGGCCACCTCCCGCCCCCCGTCCCCGGCTCCCGGTGCAGGCCACCTCCCCCCACCGCC